TTTATATAGCTTCTGGTCCTCGCAGTCTATAAGCCTTGTAAAATGCAAAATTATCACAGAACTCAACTTGACCAATGAATCAAAGGATAGAAATGAACATTGTGAGACATTTTGATAACACACAAACGCACACACACACACACACACACACACACACACACACACACACACACACACACACACACACACACACACATACATACATACATACACACACACACACACACACACACACACTCACACACACACACTCGCAGGGGCTCTCGTGGCCTAGCGATTAAGGTTGTCACCACTCATTCAAAAGTCCAGAGTTCGAATCCGGGTCATCATCATTGTCTTTCTCACCCTGGATCAGGATATAGGCCACGAACATACACTTTCCGCCTTTCCCTATCCTGGGCTAGTCGCTTGATGTCACTCCACGTCTTCCCACTTTTCTGTACATCAATTTCCGTGACTCTTCTCCAGGTTCCACGTGGTCTTCGCCTTGATCTTTTACCCTGTGAGTTCCAATCTAACATTTTCCTTGTTATACAGCTGCTTGACTTCCTGAGAGCGTGTCCAATCCATCGCCAATGTCTTCTTCCCACCTCAACTCTGACTGGAATCCGGGTAACGACGGACAATTTTTCTTTTCTAAAATTGTCCAATTTCACCTTCTTTCTTTCTCTCTTGCAATATTCTGTTGTCTGCTTTCGTTTCAACTTTCTACCCTCACACCTTCACCTTCACCTCCTTTGCCCCCTCCATCGGGCTCCTAACTCTTTCTCCAGCCTTTCTACTACTACTCCTTTGCTCCTTCTTACTGCTGACTTTCAGCCACACCCCTGATCTTCTGGTAGGAAAGATCTACACCTAGCCTTCTCGGACAAGGGGGAAAAATCTCGGAGGGCCCCTGTGCAAGTTGCGCACGTTAAAGATCCCTTATGGTGGTCCAAAATCGATAAAAGTAGGCTTCGGCCGCCACCCGGGGAAAATTCAAAATTCCCTACCAATTGAAAAAGTTTGGTGTGTCCGCGCGCTCATAATATAACTTTATGCAGTTGCGAGCGCCGTAAAAAAAACAACAACAAAATACACACACACATACACACACATACAGACACACACACAAACACGCGCACACACACACACACACACACACACACACACACACACACACACACAAACATACACATTTCCAAGGCCTACACATGTCATTACATATAAAATGTAGTTGCATTGAATAGTGTTGATGAAATGAGCCTTTAGGCTTTTTCTTAAAAACACACACTCTCTCTTTCTCTCTCTCTCGAATCTGCCTCTCTCTTTCTCACTCTCTCTTTCACTCTCTCTCTCTCTCTCTGTCTCTCTGTCTCTCTCTCTCTCTCTCTCTCTCTCTCTCTCTCTCTCTCTCTATCTCTCTCTTTCATTGTATCTCTCTCTACCACTCTCTCTCTCTCTCTCTCTCTCTCTCTCTCTCTCTCTCTCTCTCTCTCCGGCTCTCTGTCACTCTGTTTCCTCCCTCTTCTTTCTCCCTCCCTCTCACACTCTCAATCTGATGTTACAATGCACATTTTCTTTGGGAAAGAATTCCAAATTTTCGTGACGTATGAAGAAAAAGCACCCCCCCCCCCCACCGCCCAATTTATATACTTATAAATGGATTGGTTGATTGATTTCGTCCTTTTATTGGCAATTGTATACTTTTTCTAGTACTTTTTGATATATTTTTCGGTGGATCGTTTAGCAAAACAGTCTGAAAAAAGAACTCTATCATTCGTATCAATAGCTTTTGTAACCAAATGATGTACTTATGACATAGATTGGTTGTAATGTTTTTCAGGAAAAAAGCGTTCCAAAATAGAAAAGGAGGATCAAAAATAGATATATTTTGAATCGTATATTATGAAGTATAATCTGGGATTAGCGTAAATTCAAATATTCCAATGACCGTGTAACGCAAAATCGAGCATGAACATGCAGATAAACAAACAAACAACACCCCCCCCCCC